TTTCTAAATCCTTATTTGATAGAAGCTTAAAAAGGCAATCATTAATTTTGTTGGTATACATCATCAATCTCGGCCCAAAAAATCAAAAATTGAAATTTGTTTGTCAGTTTTTAGTATGATGGATTTTAGCTTACCATTTTTAGTATATAAATAACAAATAAATCCCTAGTACTAGGTCTAGAATGTGTATTAATATAGTATGTTGAAAAAACTCCAACAATTCATCTTTGCTTCTATTTACGATGGAACTTTGAACCATTTGAATTTTAATTTCTCGGAATTCTTCTACATTACAATCGGACAGCCTGAAACGAAAGAATAGAGAATTTTATATTTACGTGGACAGTAAGCATGACTATAGAATGGCTACAGTAATCTCCACCTTGCAAACCAGAGTGTTGTTGTTCGAGTTGCAAGGCACATATATCTTCAACTTCACATTAGATGGAAGACAGCAAAATATATTCCCCAGAGAGATAGATGATTCTATATTTTGAGATTGCTACAATTTATTTATTGCAAAAAAATTTTGCCGATTTAAAGACTAAATTTTTTATTTTCACCATTTGAACGAGTACCTACCCCTTTTTTGATGCAAACATTAAGATATTTCAAAAAACCATTAATTGAACCGGAGTCACATCTCAAAGCATCGGTTTTAAATTAATGTCACTCTATGTATGTATGTTCATACCTGGTTGCTGCAGCATAATTGTTATAATGGAGAGCGAATGTTGATTTTGTGGTAAGATTTCCACCAATTATGTTTGGAAAAGCCATAAATGATGGCGAAATAGTTTTGTTTCGACAATAATTTCGACGATTAAGGTTCAAACATTTCGAATATACCCTAACAGGTTTCGAAAAAATTAAAATTCGAAATCAAAATCGAAAATCGAAATCAAAATCGAAATTTGTAATCAAAATTCGAAAATCGAAATTAATAAATAAATTTGCATTAATGTCTTTAAAGTGCTTTTATTTCAATTTTTTGAATTTTGATTTTGATTTTGAATTTTGATTTTGATTTTGAATTTAGATTTCAATTTTGAATTTTGATTTCGATTTTGAATTTTGATTTCGATTTTGAATTTAGATTTTGAATTTAATTTCGCCAAGGGTATTTCGATTTCGAAAACTTGTGTGATTTTTTCGAAAGTTTCGAATTTTATCAAATGACTTTCGCCATCATGTATGGGAAAAGCGTGAATTAATTGATGATAACAATTGTTTATTATGTTTATGTGGAATAGTTTTACTAACATATTAATTTAATTAGTGGATAATTTTGGTTTTAAATGTTTATTTATTTTATTTAGTCGAAACTAATTAAAGATTTAGAGCTATGTTTTAACACAAAATTTTAATCCATGTAATCATTGATTGACCAATCAAAATCGTGAATTTGATAACGTAAAAATAAATGAATTATTTATATTAATATGAGAGTTAATAAAAATATTCGACAAATGGTTCAAATTTAAGAAGTTGGAAGAAAGCATGCGACAAACCTTCAAAATAGTCTAATAAATTAAATTGTGCTACTCGAAGATGTATTTAAAGGTTTGAAAGTATACGAATGACTCAAATTTATGCATCACGAAAGGAATATTACCAATTTGTCTGATCCACACACTCTACTAAAAAACAATAATTATTATCAATACTAAAATATTCAATGTCGATATTGTTACCATCACTATCATCACCTCATTTATCATTAGTACGATACATAAGCCGACGAAATGGACTGTCGACGAAATAATTTTCGACGAAATGAACCTTCGACAAAATAAACTTTCGACAAAATGAACTTTCGACGAAATGATTGTCGATGAAGTGATTGTCGACAAAATGAACTTTCGACGAAATGGGTGTCGACGAAATGATTGTCGACGAAATAATTTTCGACGAAGTAAACGGGACCGCATTTCTGTAGATGATATTGAAGATTGGATTTAGTCCTAGTGCACAATATGCAAAAAATGTTGGCTTGATCAATCTCGCGTAAATTAATTGCCAGAAATTTAAAATTAATTGGATTAGTGAAAATAGGGAGGACACGCACACACACTACTAGTGACAATATCTTATATCTTTCAAATTTCCTTTAAAAAACACAAAAAAAAAACATGCCAATGTTTATAAACCTAATAATGTCCTTATTACAAATATATATATAAAACACCTAGAATTCAATAAAGAAGGTTCGTTAAGAGAGATAATAACAATCATATCAATTGTAAGAGAAATTATTCCACTACCACTATTTGTTTTTTTTTTCGCGTGCTTACATAAAATTGTGCAATGTTTCAATTATTACATACTAATACTAATAATACCCTAGGAAATTTCTCGAATGTCTTAAACAAAATGCTACTGACTTGATGTATTAGGAGAATTAGATAGTGCAGTTTATGTTAATTATACTATTGGATTAAATATGAAATCTCTAACGATTGTAAGTAAACTTGAGCAATTATCGCTTGCTCACTTGTTAACCAAATTATTAAATCACTAACACTTTGTTTGAATCCAGCATTCAATATGATATTGGAAAAATAGTTAGAAATTGGAAGAACACGACAAAGAATTTAGAAAAATTGAAAACACGGTAAAGAATTCAATGACATAAAAAACTAAATTGAAGGAAGGTGGTTCTTCTAATGCGCACATAAACTTTATATTGATTAACTTAATATGATATCATTTAAAGATTCATTAAACTTTTTTTCCAACAGTATTGACAAAACAGTTGGAATTTGGATTCATCAAACCATACTACTTTATTCCATCTATGGTTCAGTCATTATTTTTTTTTAACCAAACTTTAATTGCATTTTTTTTGAGAGTTTTGGATAAATATGGCTTTCCCCCCTTTACTTTCGACTTGAACCATTTCTCTCAAGTATCCTTCTAAATGTATTTCACACATGCTAATTTTTTATTTTATTAAAAAATATGCAAAAAACACAAGGAACCGGTAGTGTAGGAACACGTTGGGTAAGTACCGCCGGAAGAGGAAATTTTGAAAAAATACTTTTGAGCCGAATTAAACCTCTTCGGTAGGGATGTTAACGGTTAGATTGATTGGACTGGACCGCGATCTGGACCGTGGACTGAGTCGGTCTGGTCTTAAGTATCAAAGACCGTTTGGGCTGTTGATTTTTTTTTATCATAAAAGTATTTATTTCATTTATTTGTTAAAAATATTATTTTATTATCTCATAATCCAATTCCAAATTTATTAATACATCCAAAAAAAAAAGAATGTATACAGTTTTATATAAATCAAAATCCATTAATTGTTTCTATGAATTCTTATTTCATCCGATACAAATTTTTCGAAATATTCGTTTTATTCGAATTATTATTTTTATCTGTTCTATTCGAATCATTATATCTCCGTGATCATGTTTACCACTCCGTAAATGTTCAGTTTATTTCATAAAAGCAGCATGATTAAGTAGGCAATCCGGATTTTTTCCATGATGTTATTTATATTAACTTGTAAATGTGGAATTAAAGCTGAATGTGAGAATAGGATTTTATAGTTCTGGAGTATTATTGAGTGACTGATAAACTTGCAAATAAAATGGGCATTTTTTTTTTCTTACAAAACATTTTATTTGTTAAATATAACTTGATTAAAACATACTAATGGAAAAATCCATTATTATCTTAACATATAACTACTAGTAATAGTAATAATAATAAGTTTGATATCCCGGGACATTTTGGAGCCAAATGCAAATCACGTAATCGTGAATGGAGTAATGGAGTTGTTAATAAACTGCAAGTCCATTTAAACACATGAATGTGAATATATCAAAAAAAGTTATATGTATATTGTTGCAGAAAGAGATGGTATAAGTGAATCTTTGGAAAATGCAGCATATAAAGCAAATACACTACTTACATTACTTTCAAATCAATTACAATTCTGTTCAGAGATATGGAAAATTTCAAACAGAACATGGACTGGTGTTAACTCAAAGCTGTCAAATCACAAGGGTGATGTACCCACATACAAATTTTCGTGTTGCTGTATGTACATTACTAATCCATAATAATCTTTCAAAAATTTACCATTTTATCATGTAGTAACATTTAAAGATGGGAACCGCAATTCAATTTCATGTGCTGCAACTAGCCTCAATTAATTGAGGAGCCATCTTTAGTAGACCACTTGAAAATTTATTTATCAATTAAATTTATTCAAGAATTTATCCATTTTATTAATTGATTTATTTATTCAGTAAATGCTCAGTCATTTATCCGAGTTTTATCCATTTTATTAATTGATTTATTCAGTGAAACCTCCATTTTAATGAAAACGGAATTATAGATTCCGTGAATATGATACATTTATTATTATGGAAAAAACACGGAAATGTATATTTATTAATATAAACGGAAAAAACATTGAGACTAATCACGGAGTAAATTTTTACAGGGTTTTATTCATTATTTGTTTTATCTGTTTTATTCGAATCATTTGTTTTATTCGAATCATTTGTTTCATTTGTTCCATTCGTCCATTTGTTTTATTCGAATAGAAACCCTAAGTCTGGACCACGATCTGGACCGCGGTCTCGGACCGATCCTTTGATTAGACTGACGGTCTTTGGACTAGACCAGACCGAACCGGACCGTTAACAACCCTACTCTTCGAGTAATATCCCGAAGCGTATTTTTTTCTGCAAATATTATTATGCATTGTGATGTTATTTATCGGTCAAGACACAGTGTTGTCTAATCTCTTTTTGATGTGTCTAAATCAGACGGTCTTATTTTTCGGTCCTTACACTTACATAATAAACAAACACGAAAACTCACGTTTGCATTTTAATTCAGCAAATAATTTATATTATCGAAAAGATAATTAATTGCCTTCCTGGCCACATACATACTCATAATTAATTACTTTATATTAATATTAAGAAAAAGCAAGTATTTAAAATGATATTTTTTTGCGAGTAACTCTTTTGTCGATTCGTTCAAATGATACCAAAAGGTTCGGCATTACTCTATAAACAAAAATAAAGATTTTTAACAGATAAAACCTTTTTTCCTTTTTCAAAAAATAAATTTATTAATTTACTTACAGGTAATTTATTACTTTGTACTTTATAATAACGTTCCAAAGTATCAAGATCGTACATTTGTTGTTTATTAATGATATTAACATTAATTCCTTTTACTCCATATCCGCCGCAACAACATATTCTATAAAATAAAAAATATATGAAAAGTTTTTTTTTTTTCGTCAAATTAAAAATTAAAAATATATACATCATACCTATCTTGATAGTTTTCCTTTTTAAAAGGCAAATCAAATTGTATGCAATATTTAACTGGATAAAAGGCCAATACCGAAGCAAAACAATCTAAAGTAATTGTAATTGATGATTTTGTCGATTTTTTGTTCCAGAACGATTTGATAATTTCGTGTCTTTCTAATTGTTCTGTAGATAAATGCTAATTATATAAAAAAACAACAATTATTATTTGAAATAATACGACTATAAACAGATATATAAATACATATAATAATTTTACCAAAGCAAAAATATTAAACTTATCGTGAAAATTGCCTAATTTATTGAACAACCAATTGACTCGATCGCTATTATCACAGAATATAATGATTGACGTTGATGCATTAGATGAAGACATTGTTGTTTTTGATGAAGATGGTAATGGAGATGACGATAATTGTCTATTATCATCCATGTCGTCATTTTCACCACTACTTCCACCACTGTCATCACCGCTAATTTCATCATTACCACTGCCATCATCATCATCATCATCCCCATTACATTCATCGTCGTCATTATCATCATCATCATCATAATTACCAACATTAAAAGAAACTAAAACCATTTTTAAAAATTCAAAAAGCGCATCTAATTTTTGATCTTCTTTATCAACAATCGAATAATATAATCTCAACCCATCTTTAATATGTGACGAGTCATCAATAACAATATGTGGTTCTTGTAAAATTCTATTTTTAATGTCTGCCAAGGTAAAAGTTGTTGCCGTGGTCATTAGGACACGCTGAACTCTTTGACGATCATCAGTATCATATCTTCTTGCAAGCCGAAAAATTATGTCAAAGGTTTGTGATCGAAATGTACTGTTGAACATGATACAAGAATCTTCGACCACTACCGTTTTCACTCCCGAAAAATCGATTCTTCTTTGACTTATTAAATCAATCAATCTGCCTGTATAATATAATTTATGTGATGTAAGCAGGTAGGTGTGTATATATATTATTAATCGATCAATCATATTATATTAAATCCATTAAATTCATTTATATCTAAATTATTATTTATTTTTACCTGGGGTAGCAATAATAATTTGTGGACTATTCATTAATCTTTCGATGTCTTTTCTTAATGGAAATCCACCAACACACGTGAAGCAAGAAAGTTGTAATTCTTTTCCAAGAATACTAAGAAAATCTTGAATAACATAACAGAGATCTTTAAGATGAATGATAACAACGGCTTGACAAATTTTTTCCTCGGGTTCAATTTGTTCAAGGATAGCAGTCAAATATGTTAAAGCACGCTCTTCACACCGTGGAACTTGAATTACGCAATCTTTACGTGTCAGCAATGCAGTTATTCCTCGTTGTTGCAAAGGTGTAGGTTTTGCAATACTATGTAATGTTGGTAGTGGTGATGATTATTGAAAAAATATTTTTATTAAAAACAATTAATTAATAATAACAACAACAACAACAATAATAACAATATAATTGATGAAGATTACTTTAATTCGCGAATTCCATTCAATACTTCTGGTTTAAGTTTCATTTCATCAAAAGTAGTCACAGCTGTCGAAACTTCCCAATTATCTTTTAACTTTTCACGTTGATTATCACGTTTATTGTTGGCTGTTATTGCTTGCAAAGATTTTTGTTTTTGTTGTTGTTTACTCATGTTTTCCGTTGTAGTAGAACCAATAGCATCTCCTCTTCGATTCTACCATCGTCATCATCATTATAAATTATTTTTTATAAAAAATAAAAATATAAATAAAAATAGAAAAAGATCATCAATTATTATTATTAAAAATATATTTATACTTGAAGCTTAGAGGAAATTCTAAAGTTTTGACGAAATGGAGTTCGTAATCTATTGGATAATGATCTTGGTATATTTGCAGCAATTTGGTTAGATTTTTTAAAATCTCTGGATTCGCTTTCATCACCAGATGTTAATGATTCATCTATGTATATGATATTTAAATGATGTGTGTTTTAATTAAATTTTTTCTTTCTTTGCCAAACTTTTTTATTTACTTTCTAATAAAAAAAATTTTTTACCAGGATAATTTTTAATAGGTTCCTCTTCAATATAATCATCGTTGTTGTTAGAAATCATAATCAAATCATTATTATTCTCATCGACCACCAAGTTCTCAAAATTTTCAGTTAATTGATTAATATCTGATTGAAGTTTTGGCAAAATGCTTAATGTAGTTGATTTTAATTCTTGAATTTCTTTAAGAATCAAAGTAATATTTTCTGCGTTTTTTTCTTCCATTTTTAATTTTTTTGTTTAGAAAGAAATTAATTTTTGATGAAGAATGAATTTTTTTTCAATGATGAAAATATTTTTTTAGGTTAGTAAATCAAAAATCATGACAAAAGTTAAACAAAAAGTAAAAAAAAAGAATTAAACTTTTTTTAAACTTCCGATGAAAATTTTTTATGATACATACAAGGTTTTTTTTTTCGTTCTTAATAATAATAATAAATAATTAAAATAATTGATTTTTTCTATCTAAATCATAAGAATATTTCACATATCATTCTTATGCATAAAAAGAAATATCTTTACAAATTTTGTGATTTCTTCGTTCGCGTAAAAATGAAAAATTTAATTGAATTGATCGACACAAATGATAATCATATATATATATTTGTTTAAAATTATCGATAATCAATAATTGTCACTTTATTTGGAATTCATAGTTGAGAAAGATTATGACCTGTAGTATAAATGGCATTTGGATGATAGAAGGATCAAATGTGGCTCATCCATTTCATTACATTAACTTATCAAGGTATTCTTTAAAATAATTATAACTTTCATGATAATTTACCAATTTGTCATTTACAATTACAATTTCATTTGATCCCATGCTTACATTTTTTGGAACCAGTAGTAAAATTAAGCAAAAATCAAGGCACCAAAAATCAATAATAATATTTATCCAGCAGTATCAAGACAATGAGGTAAATCTAGAGATCCAGTATGGAATTATTTTAATGCAATAGAAATTCCACATGATCCTCACCTGTCAGCACAAAGTAAATTTTGCTTCAAGCCATGGAAGCTTCTGACTTGAAAGGACATTTGGCTCTGAAATGCTCATTAATGATAATATAGAATCTGCAAATAAAAGGTAAAAAGGAAATATTAGAAATAATATAGATCTACATTCTTATTTTGACAGTGATAGAATAGATGCACCAAAAATTTCAAGAGCAAATCAAGAAATGGTTCGTTTTTTTTTTTGTGTGGAATTCCTTTTAGTGTTACAGATTCACCTTTCTTCTGTGATTTTACAAATCTTTATGCAGTGGTTATGAACCTCCAAAACATACCATCTTGTCTAATCATCTGTTAGATTTTGAGATTGCCAATATAGACCTTAAAGATAGAAAAAGAGGTGTGTGATTCCAAAAATTTGACTTTAGGTAATTAATTTTTAAGTAAAATTTATTAATGTAAATTTATAATAAAAATTATTACAGAATCAATTTTCTTTTTAATTATTTTTATGGTTTTATGATAAATGATAAAAATTTTTATTAATAAATATATAATACTTTTTGTTAATTCTATTAATGGGATATGGGATGGGATATGGTATTGGGTTGGGTTGTTAGACGGGGTTGGATGGGATGGGGTGGGATTTTAAGGATTTGAGTATGGGCGGCAGGTATAGCAATGAGTAATTTTAATATTTCATCTTGAAAACTTACAGAAATAAAAATAAATTTGCAATAGAGCCATACCATACCAATATAAACTCATAGAAGAAATAGAAAAATTAAACTTCATTGACATATATGATATCTGTAATGGAATAAAATCACCAACTTATAAGAGTAGAAGAGACGCCTCAAGAATTGGTCTCCGTTGGATATCCAATAACTTGATCAGTGATCTTTTGTATTACAGAAATATCCTACGCAACTATACAACTCAGATCATAATACGATCATCACTAAAGCTCCGAACGGTTCGGTTTCGAAAAATTCAGTTCGGTTTGAACCGAAGTATTCAGAGATTTAGGCTAAAAGCTACTTGGCAGTTCCTAGTATTCTAATTTTTGCACTCTTAAAATTTTATTTTGATATTTTGCAATAAAAAACTAGAATTTTATTGTAGATTGATAAATGTGGAAAAAAATACAAATAACATCGTATGATTTGCAAGTCAAATCTCGGCCGTGCTTTCATGCCACTCCATTACATTGGTGATAATAACAACAACAATAACAACAATATTAATACTAAGATTCATTGAATATTTGCTTGATTAGAAACATCCTAGTTATACGCGATGTGGCGAATGATAATTCGCTTAAAAAGACAAGTTTCAATCAGGCGATCAATTATTATTATATCATTATAAATTTTATATTTTGATATATATCATTATGATTTATCTTGATATGTCATTATGATATCATTATCTTGATATGTCTACAGTATTAAATATGAAATCTTTCCGTTTAAAAACAGCAAACATTTTTATTTATGCGAATAATCCAGGTGGAACTTTTACTATACACGCACGTATTAAACTCCGATTTTTTTAAATATAAAAAATGAATTCGGAGAAATCTGATGATAACGCAACTTGATGCATTCCTATGATAATTAATGTAATGGGCGAAGAAGGGAATGAAGTTGCAGACGTTCTCGAGACTCTGAAGCATTCAAGTAGTGATTGATACCATTACCAAATCCAAATGTAATTAAAAAACTTTTTGAAAAAGAAAGTTTAGATTGCATAATTTATGTTCTAGATGTTGTAAAAAAGATCGACCTATTGCTGCTGGACAGAATAAAAATAAAGGCGTTCAATATTTTTGATATTAAATCTAGTTTACAAATTCATTTTAAGAAGTTTGAGCATTCTCCCTTTAATGATTCCTGGTTTATTTTCAGGAAATGCCACAAATTTTTGCTAATTGACGACTTTGTATAAAAAAATGGTACTATACTTTTGTACTTTGAAATGATTTTTTTTTATTTTGCGTTATGAAACTAATGTCAAAGAACATATTTATGTATTTTTTTTCAAGAACATCGAAAAAAAAGTGTTTACTCTTGGGGATTTAATAAATTTATTCCAACTCTATTACTATTACTATTACTATTACTATTCATAATTGAATGATTGATAAACAAATAAATAAAAAAGTTTTTTTCTCAATATTTATGAATTGATTGTTTATTAGATTATTATAATAATAAATTAATGAATGAAACAGACTAGTTAGAATTATAATTAAGAAATTATGCTACGAATAGAAGCATTGTTTTAATTAATTAGAGCTGAAATTTCAGCTGCTTGTTTTTTGTGATGTCGATTAAATCTAGATATTATTTTTAAAACTTCAAACTATTTCAAACTCTGAATTATTTTCGAAAATTTAAACTTTAAACAACTATTTTGAAACTCTGAAATTGTTTTTAAATCCCGAAACTCTTTTAAAATTTCGAATCTCCAGAACTTAAAAAAGAAAAATAACAGATACCATGAGTAATTAATGTAAGAAAGAGTTCGATTAAATCTTTTTCAAAAACACATTGCAAAAAAAATTTCAGTTTTTTAAAGATTTATCACGTGACTAGGATATGTGTATATTTTTGCAGATCATTCTATAATAATGATATTTAAAAAGATTGACATTTCACTGATTCATAGACGGATCGTCAATTAAGTTTTTGAAAGCTAGCAAGCATAAAAAATCCTAATGCTGTAAAAGGAATTATCATTTCCAAGATTTATTATGTCTTCGCAGACGTCGGAAACATCTTTACAATTGATGTCCATCCTTTTGTTCTCTTTTTGTGGGATGTAACTGAGGTGGGGCATATGGACTAATATTACGTAAACGTACAATTTTCCGAAGTATATTATTGTTTACAGGCATTATTAATATTAATAATAATAAAAATTTTTTTTTTAATCCAACATATTTAACCAAAAAATTAATCTCTGATTAAATAAAATAAAATGGAAACTATATTTGGAATACACCATGACACAGCTAGTCTAAGAGAAAAAAATGACATGATTCAAAAATCTAAAAATAAAGGAATTATTCTTAATGTTAGTAGTAGCAACAGCATTGATAATAATCCTACTAGCATTATTATTAACAATGAAAAGGGTGAAGTTAAAAAACTATCAGTTAATAAATCTTTGGACGACCTCATTAATAACAAAAATGCAACAAATGCAACAATTGCAACTGCAACAACACTTAAATCACTTTTACGTTTTGTTAAATCACCAACTCTTTCTCCTCATAGTACACCTCCAACATCAGTGCCTGGTACACCTTTTGAAGAAATAAGTTTGGATAAATTGATGCTAGGAAGTTATTCAACTAAATAATAATAATAATATCAACAAAGATTCTACAACTGCGCCTTTAGCAAAAACAACAGCAACTTCTTATCATTCTCACCAACATTAATATGATCCTGAATTATCTGGAAATACAAAAAAAGTTTTACCTGTTATAAAAGGAACCAATAATGACGTTAATACTACTTTTACTACTAATAATAATAACATACAAAATTTCATTTACAATCATCCTCCTCTTCCTTTGAATTTATAATAGTAATAGTAGTAATATTAATCAAATCAATCAATTTAATTAATTTAATAAAATATTTTTTTTACCAAAATTTTTCTGCTCATTAATTGCTGGATTATCATTATTGGGTTTTGTTTCTTTGATATCACCTTCAGGAGGTAAATGAAACACTTCAATTGAAAATCTTTTACGTCTTAATTTAAATCTAAATTATTATTTATACCACTCTGCCATTATTACCACCACCACCACCTGATAATATAGACAGCTCCATGGTTGATGGAACCAGAAAATTTTATTGTTGGTAATTTATGAATATGAAATAAACCATTAAATGATGTTTGAATAAACCAAACTGGATTTTGATAATTATCCTAATATACAACAGCAATGAAAATGTAAATATAATAAATAAGAATATATAACATGATGTGGACGGGTGAATGTATTATTATTATATACAATATAATGCTACCTACTTACAAATGATTCAATTTCTATAACTGCATCACAAATATGTTCAATTTTTCTTACAAACGATGCATTTATTGGTTCATATAGATATGCTGGTATCGTGATGATTGCTGAACTATATGTATTTCTAATCAATCCTCTTAGTGCATGCAAAAATCTAAAAATATCCTAATAATAATATGTTTATAAATATATGAATGGGGTTTTTTGATAAAAA